GGTGCAGAAGCGAACACGACACTATTTATTTTCTAACTGATTTATTTAAATTAAAGAAACACTAATTTATATCGAACTTATAACTACTATTTATGTAAAACGATTTATAACACGCGGTATATAACTGTCTCTCTGACACTCGCTGTTTTTGACTGACTGACAGCAGTTGTTCGGCTGTTTATATCTGAGATCACTTGGCAGGCTTGGCTCGAGAACCTTCTCGAATGATCTTCCGTCTCCTTCTTTTTGTTCTATACCTTTTCAACTTCAATTTCGGAATCGGTAAGTTATATTTCGGAAAAAGTAATCTCGATTTCAGAATTGGTTCTGAAATACAACTTACCATTTCTGAAATTGAATGGACTTTTTCTGAAATCCATCTCACTGATTCTGAAATTGAGATTACCATTTCTGAAATCGAACTAATCAATTCTGAAATCGAGATTACTTTTTCCGAAATATAACTCACCGATTCCGAAATTGAAGTTGAAAAGGTATAGAAGCTTCTTAGAACAAACCTCTCTCTCTAATTGTTCTATCGATTGTTTCCAGAACATTCCAGAATCTTCTGTGACGTTATTTGTCACTGCGGCATATATTGAGTGTTCGGAAATATGCTGGTGCATGTAGGAATCATTGGGAGGTTGGAGAATGATCTGGGATGCGTGTTACAGGATGAGCGTTGTACTCCTGCCTTCCTGCTGATGATTCTAGTGCCCCGTCAAGGGGAATATCATTACAGTACGTTAACCATACTATACCCTAAATTTTCCGGTGAGTCCTCATTTCAACAGGAATAAATGTTCAGATCTAAACAAACAACCAAACATGACCAATACAAACCGAAAACAAGATGTATCATCACGTTACGATGACAGTAACGACCAAAGTGAAGACTTAAACTCAATTCAAAGACAAATTTACGTAAACGTTATTTTTCGTACGTTAACTTCTACGTGGGGGCCTCCTACGTACAGTGATTACTTCAACTCTCTAGTGTTCTCGAGAAGAAACCTACCGGCCTGTCTATACCTGATTGTTACTGTGATAGCAAAGTCTGGAGCATCTGTTTCCAGAACTGGTTTAGTATCGATTAACGCATTATTTGTAGAGAGAGGATAAGTCTAAGGCCAACATTAACTGCTTGTCATATTTTTCGAATTTCGATAGCATTCCAAAGATTTTAGGATCTTGTAATTGAAGAAGATACTGATGAAAAAGAATTTGTTGTTCGACGTCCTCTAGAGAGTCCTTATGAGAACTCTGATATTGATAAATATCACTCATTTTCCAGGTATTTCTTAATGTGTGTAGTAGCTGATAGGATTTCCTCGTGCACCCATCCAACTGTACAGGAGGGAGATAATTTTCAAAACTGAAGTTGGTAAAAAATCATTTGCCTTTGACCATAGGACAAGAAAGACTGAAACATTTGTCTATTGAGAATGCAATAACAAAAAATGTATCGTTTTTGAGGCATATTTTCAGAAATCAAGTATTTTGCTTTGAATTTCACTGTCAGTACCTGATGTCTTTCTCAAAAATTCTTTTTATTCCAACTGCTTTCAAGCTAAATTTCACTTCATTTCATGAATAGAAAATTTGTCATCACCTATTTAGTCTAATACAAGAATATATTGGGGCACCAAAACTCCCGTGCCTTGGGGCCCCGAAACTCTGATTGAGATGGGCGATGGGACCAAATATGCCTCAATGAAAAATTTCTGTGGAAAAAGATACAGGGGGTTGCGATCGAAAATTAAATCGAATATTGACCATGAACTCGCACCAAAATTCATTCACTGACAAGAAATTCAATGTACAAGAAACAGTTATCTGATAGTCGAAAGCACACTCAAAAATGAAATGATATTTGAAATCTTCTTCCGAGACTTGGAACTACCGTTTTTCAACAAGAACATACCAACATTACGTAGAAATGATGCTTATGTCATATTTTCTACTCAAAATTACTAAAAAGTTTCGTCAAAAAAGTTATCACTCGATTTCAACATCAGGAATCATTCACGTGGTGCCCCTTGTGATGAACTTATTCTACAGTTTGTTATACATAACATAATATTCCCTGCATGAAATTATGCCTCGGTGCCGATTTTGATAACAATTGATAAATATACAGTTAAATTATTATCAAATACCGAAAAAGAATGCTCAACTTTAACGCCCTGAATCTTTTTCCACAGCAATCTTTCAATGAGGCATATTCGATCGTATCGCCAGATTTTGGTCCAGAACAATCCGCCCTCAGCCTATGTCCCAATAGTTATGACTCACCCTGTATATGTTTGTGTATGATTCTGACTGATTTTGAGAAGCATCTGAAGCTTGTTAGTGGATTATTGGCATCTTCTAAGCTCGAAGTATTATTTTCGAGCAATCTCTGGTGTATACGAGACGACATGAGACCATGTGGTGACTGCTCAAAAATTGCATCCATTTCTTGAGAGTTTGATGAGTTTCTGATGATACCGATCGATGGTTTCTCTAGCTTTCTATATTCTAGATGCAAGGATATATCTAGCAAATATCTTGTTAGTTTGTTTGACGTACGTAGATTCGAGTATCTCAACTGCTTTCTCATATACTCTGTTCAATCCCTCACCAATTCATAAACTGTATGGGAAATGAGATTCGTCAATGATATCAGTTTATCTTGATGATTCAATAATTGATTTTCAGCTGCTTCTGCTCTTGTAGAACATCTTGGTGCCTAATGATTTCGCCGAACGACATTGTTTATCAAACTTTCGAACCGTAGGCGAGTAGTTTGGGAACAATGTCATGAGCGAAATTAAAGCAGCAAGCGGAAATATGTCAATCGACTAATATTTCCTGGAAAGATAGAATCAAAAGTTTAATTCGTATGAGTATTCTATAATTGAGACACACTGCATCCATTAATCTGACTTCCAACATAATTAACGTTTTGAGGACCACGCGCACTGAATCGATTCGGATCGGTCGACTCCACTCGGCACAGTCGGCACGTTTTGCTATGCATGTAACTTAATGCATCGCCGCGCGCGCACTGATTCGACCCGGATCGGTCGGTACAGCAGCTTATTCCGCGCACTGAATCGGCACATTCGGTATGTCTTCAGCAGCCGTCTCGTTAAATACATACATACATGTAGGTTGTCTATGGTACAAACCAATTTCAACACAAGTGAAAATCAATTCTTCTGAATCTTAGAAAGATATTCTGCCTTAGCATGTGGAAAAAACGGAAACCAAGGTTCTGATCCATAAATCAATCGCAAGAGAGGAAACCTATACAAATGTTGTCATGGTAGTACCTATTTTAGGGATCATACGATATCATATATCCACCAGAACTTTGAATTTGCAGCTTCGTTCATACACTTCTTTGGCTCTAAAACCGTACAAGCACTGAGACCAATCGGCGCAATCGGCAGTTTTCGCTCCATCTATCATTTTCTGCCGATGCCGAGAAGATCTGGCCGGTCAAAGCCAACCGTACCGATTCAGTGCGTGGCGATGCATTAAATTACATGCATAGCAAAACGTGCCGACCGTGTCGAGTCGATTCAGTGCGCGTGGTCCTTTAGACCGACCAGATCGTCTCGGCATAGAATGATAGATGGGTCAGAAACTGCCGATTGCGTCGATTGGTCTCAGTGCTTGTACGGTTTTAGAGCCGAAGAAGTGTATGAACGAAGCTGCAAATTCATAGGTTTCCTCTTCTGAGATTGGTTTATGAATCAGAACCTTGGTTCTGGTTCTTCCGAAACGGCTGCTGAAGACATACCCAATGTGCCGATTCAGTGCGCGGTATAAGCTGCCGGGCCGACCGTTCCGAGTCGAGTCGATTGATCCGAGTCGAATAAGTGCGCGTCCTCCTTTAAACGTCGCAAATATAGCTGAAAAACGAGGAAGGTTAGTTACGTGTGGGTGAATTCGGCTACTGTATGGGTAGAACAAGTTTAATGAAATCAAGTAAACAAAAAATATCGCTGTAATACAGAAGAAACCGTGAAAATGGCGATTCTGATTGATTCTAGAGACCAAAAGTGAAATAGATACAAGAAGTATGGAAGGTATATGTTGGAGAGGAATGTTGAACTGTCATTAAGAGCTAACAGTGTAATAACATTATCTGGCTCTATTTCGTTTGTATTGGATGTGGTTTCAGCTTTTTTATACATGTTGCATTTTCGTTTTCCTCGCTATACTAGATGTGGCTATTTTAAAACAATTAATAATTTATGATGTATCAAATTGAATTATCCGCAAATATAAATACATGAATCATCGAACCATCAGAGCATTTATGTATTCCTCAATAGGTAGGTAAAGTATAGTAAGGTTCGAGTTCAATCCTCATTCATATAAAATATTGGCATATTTTTAAGGCAAACCCTCTTACGATCGAAGGAGTTTTAGAAAGGAAATCAATTTGGTTGATGAACCAAGTCCACGAAATATTTACTGGAAGCCAAATTAATAACTTCATTATCATTTCATTTCAAATTCCTTGAATATAGTTGATACTACTGAAGAGGAATATTTGAGAGATTATTTTTCAGAAGATTATTTTTCGACAAATTATATATATTACAAGAATATCACATGATACAATAAAAAGTGCTCTTCCAGGAAGTGAACTAATATTTTGGTATTTGACATTCAGTAAAGAAGGAGCAACCAGGTTACGGTTCCCATACGTGAATGGGGCACTTCCACTTTAGAATAGTACCAGCGCAGGCATAGCATAGACCATAGACCTCATGAAATTAAAAACATATACTCATGATTTTCGATATTCAATTCTTTTTATCATTTTACATACAAGTAATGTATCTCTTTGCACTACACCTTCAACTCCAGTATCATGTTTTCAAATGGCCACACTGGGTAATAATATGTTGGTCTTGTTTACTCGTATGTCAAAGCGGTTTTTCGTTTCTTCCTTACACAATTAGTCTTGCAGCATAAGCATGATAAATATTTTTGTACAGTTGAATTTGTTAGAAATTACAACCAATGGCAGGCATGCAACGCTGCATTTTACTGTCTATAAAAACCGACTTTCGTGGATCCATCAGGAGTACAAAAGGAGGTCCAGGGACATGGAAACCGAAATCGAGGATGAGTATCTACTCATCTATGAAGGCTCCAGTGGGAGTTTTTCCAGTAGTGTTTCTTTATCGGATAGGAGCATCGATAATATGCTGGAGGAGTACCACTCTGATGTCCCATTTGCAGGTTGGTGAAAATCTTATTGACATTTATAAACGCATATAATAGTTATTATACGAGGGAAAAAACCCAGGTAGCACATCATATTGGCTGGAACCCGATTTCATATTAGGCCGATATAGATATATCGTACATGTGAAAAATAATATAGGTCCAATATGAGAGTATGTTGGACAAACAATATTGAAATGATTATATTGGTGGAATATTGGTTCAATCTGAGCTGAATATGGATTGTCAGCTACAATATTGCAGAAATATTGGTTGTAAAATTCATTTACCATGTGTTGAAAAACATATCCATAATAATATCAATAAGGCGGCTTCCCCAAGGCAAGGCCCTCCCATTGCACTTCGGCTGGGCTGACCTTTGTGATTATTCCTAATGCGAATAACTCGCAAATATTGATATGAAAATATTACACCAATATTTCGAAGACAACATAGCTACATAATGATTTTCAATAATGTACCAGTATTTCCAACCAACATTGCACCAGTATATTACTATAATATTCCAGCAATATTGGTATGACAATATTCTACCCATATTTTTGAGACAACATAGCTTCATGATGTTTTTCAATGATTCACCGATATTTCCATATAATATTGCACCAACATTGCCGAATGTTCACCATTCTCGCCAATATTGATAATACATTTTGTGACCAATATAACTCCACGAATATTCAACCAATATTGATTTGAGAATATTCTACCCACATTAGGAAACTGATATTGTACCAATATCGCCGAATGTTCACTTTTTTTTTCTCGCCAATATAACTTTCACAATATTTTGCCGATATTTTCGTAATATTGCACCCATATTGTCCCAATATATGTGTGCTACTTGGGTACGTTCAATGAATGTACATATTCATCATGTCCACTGTACGTCCTTGTCTTAAACGTACAATGGACGTCCATTCAACACCCATGGACGTTTGGACTAAAGCTGGAAGTAGAACGTCCATTGGATGTCATGTGCTGTGAGGGTGTGTTCTCTCCACCGACATAAATTACTCTCTGGACCGCTAATACAATAAGAACAGAGCTCATTTATTCACGAGATCGAACTTGGTGCTGATGGAGCCTGTCTATTCAGGAACTGTCATACAATTTTCATGGACATTATTTACTCAGACATTATCTACCCAATATACTGTAACCTATACATTTTGAAATACAAAATTCTTTATGCTATGTGTTACCGACTAATTATGTTCTAAGAATTCTCTGGTCCGTGACAGAGGGCTACCGATCATTTCTAGGTCTCATAAAGGGCTCTGCCAAAAAGGTTCTGGAGAACATCAGCCCGAATACGCCCGCGCAGCGCCCAAAAACCCTCAAAAAATTGAAACGCGTATACGAAACGACTAACGGCGACGGAATCAAAAGCGACAATGAGAAATCCTCGAGTTCAGAGAAGGAATCCGATAACAAGGAGAATAAGGAACGTGTCTCGGCATTGAGTCCTTTCGACGAACAGGAGGAATGGGCGAAGATCCAGGAGATTATGGCGTCGTTCGGTACCGGAATAGTCCGCGAATCCGTTTTCGTGGCCGAGCTGGAAAAGGAGTTCCAAAGTAGGCTGATGACTATCAGCTGTTCGCAAAACAGTTTGGATAATAATTCCACTGGATGTGCGACCACCGTAGAGAAGTGGTTGCAAGGATTGGGCATGGGGGATTATATCGGTCTGTTTATGACCAACGGCTTCGATGATTTGAATTTCTTGGTAAGTTTTTTTGAATACTTTTGAATTCATCACTACATATCATTCGATATAAGGGTGACTCTTCAAGACGGAGGCAATATGATGTTACCAATTGGTGAAAATTATATAGCAAAGTGATTTATTTTCGAAAAATATGATAGTTTATGACTTGTCCTTCACATGAGTTGGAAAGAGAACGAGAAAGATCATATATTTTTCCATTTTCATATGCAGAAACGCCTCTGAAACATCCTTCATAAGCTAGCTGCTATATGGTTATGTGAAATCGATCATGAACACCTAAAAAACCTATTATGAAACTTTTTATTTCAGTAAATATGTTCCTTAGTGGTTCAACAATAACGAGAGTATAAGCAAAGAACACGTTTTCCCAGATATTATTATAAAATGTGTGATCAACACGTGACACCATTCTGATACTCAACTCCATGGACATCAGTCATTTTTGTCAGGACCACCGATAGGTGACGCCTGAAGTAATGTTTCAGGGTTTTATAATTTCAAATCATTGGCCAGTTCGGAATGAGATATATTATGTTCGAATACGTCAACTGAATGAGATTAACCGATACAGTGTTCATTGTTTCTGAATATCCTTATCAATTTATCACCGTCTTGAAGAATTTCCCCTAAATAGAAGCATAATGATTCAACAAAATGTTATCACCTGCAACTTGGTATATATTGAATTAAAGTTAAATCAATTATTATAATGAAAATCCGATTTCAACGGCTACGGATTCGCAGGGTGGAGCTCACAGAAGTGGTGAATCACCCTGTATCCATTCGGAATTTCAGCTCGAAAATCTGAGCTATCCCACTGATATGATTTCATGTATTCCTAAGAGAAAACTCTTCTTGACGTTTATGATCGATATTTTTAGAATGGCGTTATCGAAGAAAACGACTTGAAAGAAATGGGTATCACCAGCGAACTAGAAAGACAAATACTTTTAGATTCAATTAAACAACTATCTCTGAAAATCAACGAAAGTCCACCCAACGTTTGCAATAATAATAACGAACAAAACTCTGTACGACTGTGGTTGAAAAAGATAAACCTCGATCAGTATTACGATACGTTTGCCAAGCATCTGTATCACGATATGGAACGAGTCAAAAGAATTTGGGATGTGGAGCTCTCAGCTGTGTTAGATATCGAAAAAATTGGGCATAGAAAGAGGATACTAGCCAGCGTGAGTAGCGGAGAGCATATTGTGTCTGGTCCAAAATTAGAAGAAATAACTGATCTCAATTCCTTGGTGAGTATACCTATCTTAGGGGGCTATTCTGTAACAATCAACGACATCGTTAGCAAACGATAATCGTTACGGAACGATATTCGTTATTCTGTAGCGAACGATTGTCGTACCTGTACGACAAAACTTATCTTTGAAGGCATTTTTTTGTCGTTACGTGAAGGAAACATAAAAAATAATATAGAAAGTGGCAGAGAGAGTGGTGAATGTGGAAAGATAATTTGATTGCTGATTATTGAAAAATGAATAACCGGGCTTTGGTAGATCTAGTTCTAGAAGAGATGGAACGCAGATAATATCAAACTCTTCATTGTTTCTAGTGATTGCATTGTTACCTTACATTGTAATATCATGTAATATCATCAATACAATTTCAGACAACAGCAACTCAGGATACTCAGTGATAGGAGTAATCCTGAGTTACCAGATGTGCTAATTCATCAGATGTACCTATAATATTGAGCATGTATACATACCAATTGGCCATCGACCTCACGAGAGATCCTTCAGCCCATGTGTATTCTATGCAGGCTTTGTTACTAACTCCATACGCCACCTTATTAGGAGCTGCACCTTTTAATTGGAACGCAACAGCGAATTGTGCGGAATCGTCTCCTGCCGAGGCAACGAAAACAAAAATTTCTCTCGTTTTATAAATAAAATTTCTGCTCTGCCAGGGATTCGAACCTAGCGACCTTTTGATGTTCTGTGTACTAGTCGAGCGCCTCGATCACAGCGCTATTTCGCCGTTTTTTTTTATAATTGTATAATAGAATTTCTACCTCTCCAGTTTTTACTGCTTTACATTTCATGGTATATACATGAACTTATCAAAAACCTGATGTGGGTTCAGACAGACTCAACAGTTCATCTCAACCCAATGTGTCGATCACTTCATGGGGTTGATGATATTATTGTCGATAATCTTGTTGCGAAGTTCCTTCAGACAGCTGATGAAATTTTCAACACAAAAAACAAAAATTTTGTTGTCTGGAAGACGAAATACTGACCATCTTATTCGACTGAAATAACATACCATTACCTTCTTTTTTAACAAGTTTCACGTGGTTTTAGCCACAGAACATCAACATACAGTTCCCAACATTCACCAAATCCATTTATTACCATGTCCCCAGATTTTTCTCTAACGACATCGATACTGAATAAACTTCCAGAATTTATCGTTCAAAATGTCGTTGATCAATGTATCGTTGAGGTAACGATATCGTATTTTACCGATGAGTTACTGAATGGACCCCTTACACGAATTCTAGAAATATTTTATTAGACGACTTATAAGCGTCATTTCCAAAGAATTCTTGTTGTTCCACTTCAGAGAAGCCAACCTGTACCAGATCTCCCATCACCGTCAACTCATTCAGTGAACAGCAATACTGGGACGATAAGGCATAGGCACAAGAAATCTCGACCAGCACCACAACCACCTGTGAAACAAACTGAACCTGAGAAAAAGTCGCCAGCAGAAATTTTCGTTGGAGGAAGTAACTCCATAAAATCCCAGTGGAGGCATCAGCCCATACTTTTGATAACGGGATGTGTCAAATATGCAGCAAATGTAAGTTCTGGGATTCCACAGGGTGAGTCAGTTTCTTGTTACCATTGGAGTCGTATCTACATCACAGACAAAAAATTTCTATGCATAGTTCTCTGAAACCAGTAGAAAGAATTTGTGATTCCTCATATCATATCATTATCAATAATTCCAAAAATATAATCACAAAGAATATGAATATTATAATCAACTAACAAACTGTTTTGAACATTGTTCATTCATTCATATTAAAGATACGAAATAACGCTGCTGAGTAGGACAACAGCAAGTGTCTATCGTACTTTCATCAACAAACTGGTCAGTTACTAGGATTAAAATAAAGAAATAGGTCTTTATATAGGAAAGTGAGATAGATCAATGGGCGGAAGTGAAAAAATTTCGTAAGGTATTTTCTTATGTAATCCCGTAGCGTACTCGATAGTAAATTATCACTGGGAAATATCGAAGATGATTAAATGAGAGTATCTCTGATGCATTGATCCCCCTGCAACTACAGAGTAACCCAAGTATTTGGGAAATAGATAAGAAGTGAAAATGAAGAGACTCACCCGACTTTTATTGAGAATATTCAAATGGTCACAAAAAACTCACTTACTCTGATATTCTCTCGGATATTCTGGACAAGATGATAGTACCTACTTTTTCAGTATTTGGGCTCCACTACCATTCTGGAATTCAAAGGAACTGAGTCTACTAAGAAATCTATCCAGAGGGTGATGAAGTCGAAAGACCATCCTAGCGAGGAGATATGCCTATCTATCTCCTACAGAGGTGTGAAGTTTATAAATCCCATAGCACAGGTAATGTCGAAGTCATCGATAGATAAATGATACAATATTCATATTTGATTGCAGAAAATTATATGTGAACACGAGATCAAGAATATGAATTGCGTTTGCCAGGATACAGAGAATCAGTCATTTTTTGCGTACATCACGAAGGATTGTGATTCTTTCTACTGCCACGTGTTCCAAGCAGTTTCTTCGGTGAGTGTTTGATAATTCTATAGATATTTCATAATGATATTTCCAACTTGAATTACTCGTACCCCCTCCAGGGGCCTATTGTCGATTGGCAGAAACTGAAGGAAATCCCGAGATGTGAACTGAAATTACGCATTCGGTACACAAAATATTTTCTTCAATATTTCAATCATCCTTGAGAGAAGTTCGTGGTGAGTCAGAGTGGAGCAACTGATCATAGAACAGCACTATTTCGTGCTTTTATATAAACCCATCATCAGGCAATTCAATTGTGAAATCATTCTACAAAATTCACCAACAATGGAGCGGCAAATGTTCCACAAATCAATTACTTGAAAAAAAAAAAATGAATGATGGAATTCAACTAGTGAAGTGAATATGGTTTGATTTTGTGTCCATCGATCTGAAATATGAGAAAGTATGGAGACTTCTGGATCATCTAGTAGAAAAACAACTCACTGTGGATAAGATATAGGATAAAATCATTTGGAATCATGAAATTCTCTAATCAATGATGGACTTTCAATTTGACAAGGTCCTGCGTCTCAATAGACATAAGTTAGCTTACCAATCACAAAGTACAAGGCAACATGTTGGGGTGTAATAGTGACCCTGCTGAGGTACTACAACTCGGACTTTTGTTTAGAGCGCAAATCTACTTCACTCCTCAACTGCTTCTCATGATCTGCAAAGCACAGATATCACACAGCACCCAAACATTCGCTGATGCTATTAGATTCCATCTAGAGGAGAGCCATTCGCCAGGTGGATGATGCCGCACTTACTAGCTCTTTGACCCCATTAAAACACCGTAGAATAGTCGGCGACCTCTCACTTTTTCATATATACTTCCACGGAAAATGTTCCTGAAAAATTTCTAATATCATTCTATCACTAACAATACCAGTCAGACGAACTCAACAGCCCCAGTCAGCATAGCATTCTTTCGTTGTTAACCTTGAAATATGTCGAACAACACTCTACCAAAACTCGTTCGTCTATAGAACGGCGAATCTTTGGAAGTCTTCGCCAATGGAAGTATTCCCAAGAACTCATAACCTCCAGAAATTAAAAAGAAAACAACACCGATCTCTTCTCTATATTTTCCCTATACGTACGCACGATGTTCCCCGAACATTATAGGAATTTTCGTGCGCACCAAGAGATAGAAAAAAACAAATCCAATAATTTTTCTCATCTTCCGGAGGTTAAATGTGAGTTAAATGTACCAATCTGAAATAAATCGATCAAGGGCACTTCAGCGAACATGTGAGATTTTGGATTACTTTCGAGTCTGTTAATGATACAATCTGTGATATTCTTAGATTATATACCTATTCGGCCATGCTGATGTTATTGTTCATTTTATCAGACTGCACTTTTGAATGACGGTTGACTATATCCCTCATATCTTGATATTATGGCAAATGTTATGGACATTTGTCGTGCCCTTGATTATACCCCAATTCACCTCATCATAAAACCACATCAACTTCGCTCAAGTATCAGCTCCCTATATTCAACTTCAGGATATCAGCATGCGATTCCAGGATATCTCCTCCACTTGATCTCTGTAATATGCCAGAATGATACCTTTTCTTCTCGCGAGTTGATCCCCATTGTTTCCTTTCAATCTCCGGTGACTTGGTGTTGCCTGGTTGCATTTCTCTGCAAATATGAAATCTATATCAACGGCATTCCCGAAGTATAATTTCGATAATATTTGGTCACACGCAACTGTCTTCAGAACAGCCTATGATTGAAACACAGGCTCCAATCGAATGAATTCCAACAATTTCAGAATGTGATGGTTCAAGGTCAAGAGATATTCACTTGTATATTGTGGCGAGAATGTCGATTGTAACAGCAGGAGTGTCTTTGCAGGAGCAAGCCATCGATATCATCCTGACACTTGGCCAAGCCTTTGAGCTGGCCTACCAGATGGCGCTGCGCGATCAAGTCACCAGCAAGACCAAAAGCAGCCGTGACAACCACAAACCTGCTGTGAGTCCTGGATCCGTCTCCTCCAACAGCCGAGACTTCAAGGACGCCTCCACTCGGTCGGCGGACTGTAAACTGAACGGTCATCCCCTGAAAATGAAGCCTTTAACGCTGTCCATCGCAGCAGAGCCAGTGGATGTGGGACCTCAGAGAACACCAACAGAGGGAGAAACACATGAGTAGTGGGGAAGAAATCTGTGAAATTTTACGGAGGTTTGGGAAAGATAAGGTAACTGAAACATATTATATCATCTACATTCGTTTTTATTCGAGAAAAGAGAGAGGAATCTGGTGTCTTATCCCAATGAGTAGTACTTTCTCGAAATTTTAGCGATTATCTAACGAGAAGTTTTTGCAACATGGTGCTGTTGAATATCCCAAGAAGTGTTTTCATCTAATTTCGTCGGAATATCAATATCATAATGAAATTACTTGATTTTCATAATTTCATTCACCCAGTTTTGTCCGTCTGATACAAATCTTTTTCTAACTGTACCTAATTATTTTCATCATACCCAAACTTGAGGATGAGCCATCTGTCACCCTTGATTTATAGATACCGTAACGCACCTCGACGTTATAGTCAACGTTCGGCAATCAGTACCGTAGGACGATGAAATAAAGTTGTCATTTGTAGATTTCCCTGAATTTGACATAAATGTATATAAAGGAGTTTCGAAATCTCTCGATATCGCCTACTTTGTAAAAATAGCGAGGCGTGGGAGAGTGTCGCTGAATTTTCGAATATTTAAACCATATTTACAGGCATCATGACACACTCATTAGAGTTAACATTTTCGTTTTCACAATTTTTTCTTTAAATGGGAACGGTGCGTCATAATACCGACTTTCAATGGTTGATTCATAAACGACACCAAGTCATACAAGAAAATCCTGTGATAATAGTTCATTTAGTCACTTTTGGTACTTGGAATGAAATGAATTTTCGGATTTTCAAATAATCCTCACACATTGCATCAGCAGTCATCCCATGATGAAAGCACAATACACTCATTCAACTAATAATATAATATCGATACCTGCCTAATAACCTACTAATGCTCTCAATTTATAATATTTCTGTTTAAAATTTGAACAAAATCTTGAATATGCAGTAAAAATGACACTCGTGAAAGATATGTCAAGATCAAGATGTTTCCGCAGTGATTATATGTGGCGCCTTGTCTTTTTTGCGTCCTGTCTATAGATGCTTCTTATCAGCTATAATCGAATTCGTGAATCATCAACAGGACTCTTCAGGTCCCGAAAGAAGGATAACACATTCTTGAAAGTCTTGTTCAACTCCATAATAAGATTTGAAACGGAATTTGAAATTTTACTAGACATTTTCCATTGGTCACGCCATCTATTATCGAATTTGAGAACCCCACGTTTCGAACTTGCATTGAATTGTTCATATCGAGAGATAGTATGACGAAACAACTGGAAAGTGGGCACACCAGAAGAATTTTAAACATCTCAAATTCGACACTCGCTGATCGTGTCATATTAATTTGTAAAATTATTTTGGTCAAACTATCAAGCAGCATTCTTTGAATGAGCATTGTTTTAAATATTTGGCACTACTACAGCTGGAGTTCTGTTATATGCGGCAGCAATAAAAGCTTCCGCAAATCGCAGCGTCAATATGAATGAATAAATTGAAGTTGCCAGATATATTCCTAATCCGTACAATATCTGTGATGGCATTGTTATTTTTGTTATACCTGATTTTTGACTCATATAAAATGAAATGATATTGTTGATTAGGCTTCTCAGGACTGCTTAATCAGTATTCTTCACGTATATTTCGAACCTCTGCTTAACTTCTATATGTATTCTTCAACTTTTTTTCAAGGAATTTTTTTTCAATTTGCTTTTCTGTTGATATTATATATGCCAACAAAAAAACAGTTGAACATCTCGAAGAATACATATGGGCAATTGAGATTTTTTCAACTTTAGGAATTTTTGGGTTGAAACTATTTATTATCGGCCAAAACGGCTAACTGTAATAGATCGATGAAATCAGCTCTCTAAGCAGAATCTTGTTATGCAATAAAATACAGGGTGTCCTATTGAAAAAATTATAAATGTTGCCCATAATTATTTTCTGAGTTGTACAACTGTTTTTTTGTTGGCATATATGAAACCTACTGGAAAAAATATGAAAGAACGTTCCTTGAAAAAAAAAATTCAATATTACATAAAAGAGTTAAGTGTGGGTTCAAAATATACGTGATGACCCTGTATGTAAAACAATTATATAATATCATTATTCATGTTCTGATGTGAATCAAACAATAAACCCAACCTTCCTTCTGCATGACGGTCTGTCACCGTTCCACAACGCGAACATAGAAAGATGGAAATCGGCATCTCTGGCGTTGCAGCCACGAACAGTGTATTGCTGAACGACATTCTATGAACATTACAGGAAAAATCTTTTGTTTTATCTTCTATCATGTAACGGAATCACTTGCGTAACGTTACGTTATTGAATCTATAAATCAGGGGTCAAACCTCACAAACGAATTAGAATTCTAAGGTAATAACAACGCAATATGATTCACTTGTCAGTTGCTTCTGGTGAGAACATTTTCTCATAACGACGGTGTTAAAATTGTCAATGCTTCGTGGAGACTATTGACTGTTTGAGATGTAACAAACCGTCAGCTGATAATAGGTTCAGATGAACTTTATCTTTCCTAGACTATGATGATGGATGGAAGAAGAACACTGCCAGTGCTACTTTGGCAGATTTGAAATCGTTTGTGCCACAACTCTCGTGTTAGTCGTTATTTTAGATGAAATCACCTGTCATGTCATCAAATCTTTAGGTAGATAGCACAGTCATTGAAAATTTGGATAATTAAAAAATATTTTACTGATAGATAATGATAAATGTAATATTTTCTGAGATTATACGAAAGCAACGTAGTTAGTGTGCTTGAAATGTGACAAAGATAAGTATAAACCAAAAATCCATATTCACAAATTTTGCATCAGTATTAAATGACCATATACATCAAGCAATAGATTATAAAATGCTAGATAAAAGACGTCTATTTGGATCCATGAATTCGTTTCTTATGTAAAAAACGTTTCAGTGTTTAGTTACCTTCAACCACTTCACATTCGATCAAATTATGGAGCAGCTTCATCACAATTGAATCACGGAGAATCAAGCAGAGATTAGAAGACGAAACAGAAATCAATGACTCATAATTATTCAGACTCATTTTCTTTAGACGAACTTCTTCTTTGCGTGTTGAAGATTCAAACTATAGTTATTTACTGAATGAACCATCATTCGATGAAGCTGCACCATTAGGGTCGACTACGATCTAGGTTCAGTTGAGAGATCTTTACACCTCTGTTCTAGTTTATCTATTTATTTCAAGTACATGACTGCCGACGAGCAGAACTGCTCAGGAACTGTCCTGAGGAGGAATCCAAATCGAACTCTAGGTTTCAAAAATTATATGAGAATGAAAAACTAGAAACCTTACCTCATCAATTGTCAAAGGAAATACACTGACCAATGGAATTAACGGGTAGGTAGATTAAAATAACATCACATAATGGAAGGAACAAACTGATAAATGAACAATAAAGTAATCACTAATGTGGGTTTCAAGATGTTGCAACACAGCACTTGTGTAAGTGATTCCTCCTTAATCGAGTTTGCAGAGAAATATATGCAACCGGCTCCCAGAAAACTTTCTGTGAGTGTCTCAAGGAAAAGGCTCACGAATTTAGCCAGAATATACTGGAGAGTATTTTCTGGAGAGCATCTCTTCGTGAGGCCGAAAATGACGATTAGGTTAGGTACCAAATTTCAAATTACTTATTAGTTTTTTTCTCTCAGAGATACAATTTGAATTCACTTGTATATAGATACATACATGATGAAGTTATAGAATATTCGAATCAACGTGTGACTTGAGGTGAGCTTGCCTGCTTTTCGCGTCTTGGAGAGTTTAGAAACTATTTGACGCGATATTGTATTCTGTTTAAACTTCGTAGTGTTGCTGCCTTGTGCTCATCATTCAACTGTATTGAGGTTTGGTCTTTAGATGATGTCAATTCACGAGAATGATTTTATTCTTCATCAAACCTTACAACACAAAATCTTCAATATAAATGAAGAAATTTTGAGTGCAAGTTCATTATCCCTAATTTTTGAGAGTGATCCCATGGTTCGAGAATGATTCCATTATCACTGGGTTGCACCTATTCGTTTTCATTTGATGCAGCTCTATACATCTTGCAATCATTTCCTATATTCCTAGTATTTCCTCATCTTTAGTATATAACTTTTCTCAGATATTCTCATGATTTTTTAAAGCAAACTTAACTCAAAGCGAAGATGATGAGTAATTCCATTGGGAACTGAACAAGATAAGAAGTATATCAAGTATATGAGATGAAATAACTGGTTATGGTATTTTGTTGGTTCTGAGTTCTTTTATTTCATTCTCATATATTATTGGGAGAAGTTTCTCTTAATACAACTGCAACTCACATATAATATTCAGTTACTTTTGGTGTAATTTCTTACATCAGAAATTTGCTCAATTATCTTGAACTTTCACATATTTAGGGAGCAATATTTGAAATATTTTTTATGTCATTGTATCACTTCCGCACTATACAACTCACACCACTATATAATATACATAATAATATATCCTCTTAAAGACTATCTTCCATTTTTGTAAGTCATAGCTTGTTATATAAATTAATGTACATAAATGAATGTCTAGAAATTATATAGAAAAGCTTTATTATAATATATTTAGCGGAGTTTAATCCTTTTTGGTGTGAAAATCGATATTATATAAGAGAGATACAAATATTATGAAAATACCGCTTTTGAGCATTTAATGCTTGAGCTGTTCTGGCTCGATAAACTCAAAAACTGAATGTTACGAAATTTCAAGTTAATATATTATTCTTCGTAATTTGTATTGAATCATGGATTTTATTCACGCACCAGTTAGAATTATCATTTCCGAATTCAGTATTGTAGTTTTCACGTACCTATTTTATTATTTCACTGTGATTTATACCTACCCACATTAATGTTTTATAATTTGTTAATTTTTGGATATTTTAATAAATCATTATGTTTACAAACCAGTTTCAATCAGTGTTACATACCTTTACCTAGAAACTGTGAGAATTTTTATTTCGAAATGAAAGTGTTAAATTGAATAATCATAGGTAGGTTTCTGCCTGGGAACAAAATAGTTCACTCCATCACAGAGCTTCAAGAGTGACGCTGAAAGGTAAGGTAATATTATGGTATTTAGCAAGTAAATAGTTAATAGATTGAGTAATTCTTTGTATAGATTGATGATTGACAGAAAAAAAAGTTACTAGTAGTATTTCAAAGCTATCATTCGTGTTCAACATAACGAATAGTGAACAGGAAGACAATTTTCAAGGCTAATTGAGTTTAGGAGTGAATAGTTAGCTGGAATCGACGGAAAGTTAGGTCGACCGTGTCATTTTTCAAGTCATTTCTCTGAAAATTGTCACTAGAATTGGAATAATACCTACAGCATCGATCTATGAGATTATTATGTCGATAATGCTGGATCTGAGACAATCTGCCTCAAGAGATAATTGATATAACACTTTGATCATACACCTGGAATCATTGGGTGGATTATGAATCTATCTTTTCTTATTGAAGTTGAGTCTTGAATTCATAGATTCTTCAGATACAAGTGATGATGGAGAATCAATTAAAATACTTCGGTAATGAAACAGACTATATCAAATATTCAAACCTAGCTGCAAGATCTTTGTAGGAAATAAATTTCTCATCAAGCATGATTGAAATAGATCTGGACAAAATGGACAAAATACACTTTGCATGAACAATTTCTCAAAGAAATTCCACTGTATGTGCTGGAACTGTTCTCCATGTAAAAATCGAGCCAGTGCCACTTGTACAACTTGCTCGTTGCTAGGGCGCTTTGTAAATGGGTTGTTCAATCAATGGGCTTATATCACAAAAAAAATTTATTTTATAATTCGATAGAACTCACCCAAACTAGCTCACCACCGCAAACCGTTTCTTGCTGTGAGCTCCCTACGTTTTATAAAAAATTATTGAAATCCCCGATTTTTTGGACCTCTGAAAACGAGGCGATGATGTGACGTCGAAACCCTAATACTGAAACAAGACTATTCCAGACAGAGATGAATGATACATGATTTCAGACAGAGTGAATTAGCGCGAGATCACAGTTTGAAGAATTAATATATCAGTTGTCTCAGTCTCCGTTGGGTGTTTGGTATTTTCTTTAAACTATGGCGAGATGAAGTTTCTACGTCATGAGAGGGTCCGTTTTCAGAAGGTACTACTATTTATGTCCAAACATAAAACATTCCAGTAAATTTTTTGATCGAATTATGTCGTCAATCATTATTTAGGTATGAAATGATCATTATAAACATGGTTTGAGTTGAAAGTTCTTCAAAGGTGTGCACGCCCATTCAGTATAGTGACTGGAATTTTCTCTAGTTCTTCACGCTGTTCAATGATTTATGTCCGAAGAAATGACGGCTCGTACAACATATTTGAAGTGGAAAAAATGAACTTGTCTTCAATATATTCGATTATAAATTTATTTGTGGAGGGAAATACATTATGATAGTGATGTGCTGAACATTGTTCAATTACCTCAGACAATCAAAAATACATTATGAGTTCCACATTTCAGTATTAACGGAGCACTGGCTGAATACTGACGAACCAGTTCACATTCCTGGATATTATATAATTTCGAAATACTGTAGAAAAAGTTCACTACATGGTGGTACAATGAAATTGATCAAGAAAGAGTCTTCGAAAGCACTATCATTTGTAAACAACAGTAAATTTGACAATTTGATTGTGGAAAAAGAGTTCGAATTTTCGTTAATCCACTCAAAAATAAATAATATTTATATCTTATGCATTTATAGACCTCCCTCTACAGATTGTAAACTATTCATAGGAAGACTAGAGTATTTGTTATCTCAATTTTCCCCTCTTAGTTCATTAATTGTAGCTGGTGATTTTAATATTAATTACGCAAACAAAGCTTCAACTGAAACCCAAATGTTAATTAACCTGCTAGATTGTTTCAATCTGAATATGCACGTGGAAAAACCCACACGGATCTCGAAATCCTCAGCCACTGTTATAGATTATATATGCACCAACGTTGAAAGCGTATCAACTTCAGTGATCAATGCGGGGCTATCTGATCATGAAGCTGTTACTTGCCTTATTCCTAACAGTCTCAAACATGGAACTTTTTCCAAGGAAAAGGAATATGGACGGATATTTAGTAAAGGTAATTATGAGAAATTCCGGTCTATTTGTCAAATTACTGATTGGACCATGATTTTTCTGGCGGTAGATCCCATAAATGCGTTTCAAGAAGTTGTCATCAGCTTATTTAACAAAGCTTTTCCACTGCGATTGCTGAAGAAGAAGAAGAAATGTAAACCCTGGATCACGAAAGGAATAAAAACCGCATCAAATAATCTTCGGTGCTTGCACACCATTAGAAAATTCCATACCGAAAACATTTTCTTCATGTCATATTTCAATACGTACCGTCGTGTTTACAAAAAGACAATCAAATTAGCAAAAGATATATATTATAATAAAAGGGTCAATGAAGCAGAGAACAAGCAAAAGGAAATGTGGGCAATAGTAAACGATCTTAGAGCCAAAAATACCCGCATAAATTCACAAACAAATGTAGACCTCAATCTGCTGAACGATTATTACTGTTCAATAGCTGATCAATTAACACGAGATATCATTCCAATAGAAAATCCTCTTGTATATACGAGGAAAATGCTATCTCCGATGGAGTCTCTTTTACTGTATGATACAGATTTAAAGGAACTTAAGTTAGTAATCAGCGAAATAAAAAATAAATCTTCGTCAGGTGAAGACAATTTGTCAGCGAAGTTGATTTCTCAATTGCCAGAGGAAGCTCTGAGCGCCTTGGTATTAGCTATAAATAATTCGTTTGCTACAGGAATCTTTCCTACTAGCTTAAAGTCTGCAATTGTGTTACCCCTGCATAAAGGAGGTGCTATTGACGATCCTAACAACTTCAGACCAATTTCCATGCTCTCAACTCTTTCCAAAATTATTGAAAAATTGGTGAAACGGAGAATGCTTGGCTTCCTAGAGCAACATAATATACTAGCGCAGGAACAGTTTGGTTTTCAAAATAAAAAAAACACCAATGATGCTATTTTCAATTTTCTCGAGAGAGTATACTTGAGCTTGAATGAAAAAGAGGCGGCTGCAGCAGTGTTTCTTGACCTTTCTAAGGCATTTGACTGTGTGAGTCATGAAATTCTGTTGCAGAAGCTTCTTCATTACGGTATTCGTGGTACAGCTCTAAACTGGTTCAGATCTTATCTCACTGATAGGAATCAAAGAGTATCATTGTTAAAAAAGACTTCGGATAAAGGTAATATTATACGGGGGGTCCCTCAGGGGTCAGTTCTTGGTCCGATTCTCTTCTTGATTTATATCAACGATATGGTCAGTCTAGATATTTCTGGACACCTAACTTTATTTGCAGATGATACCACGATTCTCTGGCATAACGAAGATCGAGCTAGTCTGGCTCAGTCAATTTCAGTGGACGTTGAAAAAATTAAAATTTGGTGTGAAGCTAATATGCTAACTCTAAATGTTTCTAAAACAAACTTAGTGACATTCAAGTCAGAAATTGAACAAATTGCTCTAGGAGATCAACTCATTGAGAGCAAGTCTGTCACGAAATTTCTTGGTGTTCACATAGATAACAATTTGAAGTTTGACCATCATATATCAGCTCTTAAGAAAAAAATATCAGCTGGCTGCTTCGCAGTCAATGTGATATCCCGTGAACTTGGATTGCAAGCTTCAATATCAGCATACTACTCACTTATTGAATCGCATCTACTGTATGGAATTTCATTCTGGGGGTGTAGCTGTCATGGTCTCTTAAATAGTGTTTTCGTCCTTCAAAAACGAGCTCTGAGATTTGTATTCAAACTCAAGCCGCGTGACTCATGCAGGCCAATGTTTCACAAATATAAGATATTGACGGTCTTTGAAATTTTCGTTTTAGAAACAGTCTGTTTGCTTCACAAATATAGAAGAAATTTCATGAACACAAACATAGACAAGATTACGCGTAATAAAAGGAACCTTGCTCTTCCTCTGCCTAGTTCATCTTTAACGAGACAATCCTTAATTTATAGGAGTAAAAAGATTTACAATCATTTACCAGAATGGACAGCTATGATCAATGATTTGAAACAATTCCGTAGATCTGTCAAAGATATGTTAGTGGGAAAAGGCTTGTACAGTTTGGATGAATACTTTGCCTACAAATTCTAGTCTTTCTATGATATGTGAGAATAATTAGAGATTCATATCATTGATTTTAAAGATAATTGTTGTTTGTGATAATAATGAAACTTGTCTATGTTATTTTATTTTATATATTTTTGTTCTGTATTATTTTTATATATTCCTGTTCTGTTGTATTTATTTATACACAGAGAAAAACAATTCTTTGAATTTAACAAATATTGTTAAATTCAAAGAAATCCGAAGTTTGAATAGGTCCAACAAACAAGCTTGGTTGAATCAAAGTTTCCATTCTTTTGATTTTTCAAATAAGTGATTTTTTTGTATCTATATAATTTATTGAAAATGATATGATTCATAATTTGGAAGAAAGTATATATTTGTTTGAATCAAAACTATTTCTTTGGATTTATGATCAGAATTATTCATAGTGAATAAGTATAATTTGCATCAAAGAATATAAAGCTTGAGGGAAACAAGGAAATTATTTGGAAGAAATAAATAATTATTTGTGAAGAATAAATATATGTGAATGAAATTTGTATCAAAGAAATCAGAGCTTGACAGAAACAAGAACATTCTTTGGAAGAAACAAATGATTATTTGTGAAAAATAAATATATGTAAATGTAATTTGATTCAAAGATGTCAATGCTTGAGAAAAATAAGGAAATTGTTTGGAAAAAACAAGCTCAAATAATGGATTCCCCTTACCAGAAATAAATTGTAGATTTGAACGAAATC